GGGACCGAGCCGGCCCGCTGCCCCCCAGCGCAGGGGCTCCTCACCCCCGGGGCCGACACAACCTGAAGTTTTCTTTTGTTCCTCTTTATTTGATTCTATTCTTTTTTTAATTTTTTAATTTTTACTTTACTTTTTTTCAACCTTTTTATTTTTTGCTGTTTTTCCTCACACAGCCCTTCGTCGCATTGCTTTGCCCGCTCCTCCTTTCTGAGCGCGTCTGTGTGCCTTCTCTTGCTCCTTCTCTCTCTCTCGCTCTCTCTCTCTCTCTCTCTCTCTCTCTCTCTCTCCCCTTTACCCTTTATGTCCCTTCTACTTTTATCCATATCTCTCCGCCTGACTTCCTTCTCCTGGGTCTTATTTATGTTCAAATGTGTTCTTCCCTTACCCGTCCCCCCCCCCTCGTCTCTCCCCACTCCATCCCCGCTTTACTTTTCCTCTAATACTGATTTCAGTCATAGAGTCTTTTCCCCTCCTCACTTCTTACTACTAATTTTGTTTCCAGTTTTACCTGTTAGCTCCTTCTAAATGTGTACCACACCTCGCCATCCTTAGGATTCTTTGCACCCCCTCCTACTTGCCCCTTCCCATAGCACAGAGCAGAGGACCTAAAAAGAAAAAAAAAAGAATTTTGATTTTTTTTTTTTTTCTTTCGGTGTCAGGAATCAAACTCAGAACCTCACGGTTCTCAGGCAGGCTGTGTGCCACAGAGGTGTGCCACAGAGGTATGCCTCCGGCTGGAAAAAAACAGCTTTTCTTTTTGAATCTTTTATTTCTTTATTTATTTGGTACAAGGTCTCACTACACAGCTCGGACTCGTTTGCGGCATGGGGTAATGGAGATCAAACTCTGGTCCCTGGGCTTGCCAGGCAGGCACTTAGACTGCTGAGCTATCTCCTCAGCCCATAAAACAACTTTTCTTTTCTCTTTTCTTCCCCTCTTGGGCATTACAATGTCCCTAACACTCTGCTCCTGTAACATCCCTGCTGAATGCTCGTTTCAGCATTAGACAGTTCACGGCTTCACATGCAGTGTGCACCAATTGTGGGTGCAGGCTTGGATTGCTAAGATGCTTTTGCTATAACCAGGGATTTCAGGGAGACCCCAAACAGCCCTGATAGCACCACTGTAATGACCTAGCTTGTGGCTGCTGTCCCTGATTTGATTTATAGGAATAAACCTAACTCGGTGGGCAGCTTGTGCCAGGAAGCCTATCTGCTGAATCAGTCACACCAGGAGGAAGGCCAGCAAGAGTCCCTAAACCAAGATCTCAACCGGCCTGGGCTCCACAAGCCAGCCTGCAATGTGGCAGACCAGCCCTGAGTCTGAGTTAGGTCTGTACTGGGGTAAGGGTCTGCTTGGCAATCACACCGGCGGGGCCTCCTTGGAAGACTTAAGCTGTGCTCCCAGTGGACATCTTATAGGTCTAAGTTGTGGTGCATTTCTTGATTTATTTAGTAAGGTAGAGCTGTATGATATTCTGTTACTCTTTCCTGTGTTTTTTAGGTTGCTCCTTTTGTGTGCTGGTTCTTTCATTGCCTCTGATTTAATCACTTTCTAGGTTGTGTCTCACCTTGGTTCCCTATCTACTTTCTTTGCCCCAAACACCTGAGACAATGTTATTATTAACATGTTGCTTTATGGTTTTTGCAAACACCTCCTCCCAAGTTGCTTCCCATTCTTAGCTCCCAGCTGGCAGTCCTAGCTCCCTGGTGCTGTTCTGTCATCCTTCATCTGAAATTTTGGCTCTTGCACGTCTTACCTAGTTTATCGTCCTTCCCACCAGCAAGTTTCTGGCAACTGCATGGATTTTCTCAATCACAAAATAACCCTCATTCTAAAAGAAAGGAAAAAAACAAAACAAAACAAAAACCCTCATTCTCCTCCATTTTGTCTTTGTCCTTACCAAATATCCTGTGAAAACTCTTAATCCTAACCCTTCCATGCAACTGAAAATACCCTGAGAGCCCACACCAGCCTTTCCCTCTCCACACCTCCCCCTACTGTCAGCCCTCATTATCCACCCGCCTCCCACTCTCCCAACCCCCTCAGCTCCCTGTAGAACAGCCATAGACAATGCAGGCTCAGTTGTGGTGCAGAGACAATGGACAAAGC